CCTTTATCCTCTCATGGAAGCCTGTCCTTTGCCTGCATAGGATTCGAAACAATTACAATGAAATAATAATTTTTGAGTCTGGGTATCACATTTGTCTCTCAGCAAGACAGGGTCTGTGTCTGTGTTGTTTGACACTTATTCCAAATAGGGGAGAAAGAAAAAAGTCCCCACCAGGGGTCAGAGAAAGCACCAGAGAGGAGAAGGGGGAGATCGAGGATTGGTCCCTGTTGTGGGTTCTGTGTGCCCAGGTCAGCTCTGAAACTGAGAGATGGCCACGCAGCTTCTGTGTTGCCTGCTGACAGTGAAGGGGCTCCTGGCACATGACTGTGACTGTGCCCAGTTGTCCCCCCTTCAGACCCCCCACAGGCTCCCGCCAGGCATCTGGATAAGACAGCAATCCCCAGGGAGAGACACATTAGCACAGTCCCTGGAGAGGGGAAGGAGGCAGTGGGCTTGCCCAGCCCAGGAGATGCCAGCAGGAAATGTGATGTGTGCAGCCCCCACCCCCCACTCCGCCCCAAGGACTGGCCCTTTCGTGAGCTTGTTTCTTTTTATGCAATAAAAAAATAACAGGATGATGGTTAACATCACACAGGATGGAGAGAGAAGATGAAGTCTGGGCGCACTCAAGTGAAGCCTAAGAACAGTTCTTAGTAAATGTGAGCACAGAGGGCACGACCCCCACTGGGGTTGGACCCCTGTTGGAGTGGAGAGGGCCCCGCTGGGGGGAGAGGCCTCACCAGAGCAGGAAGCATGGGGCAAGCCCCTTTGCAGTCTCAGTTTTGCCTTCTGCAAAACGGGGAGATTATACGCCTGACAAGACCCCCCGGAAACGTGTGATGTTTTTGACCTTAAAGATGATCAAAGAGGAAAGACAGCCATGGGCTGTCCTGGGTGGAGGCGGCAGGATGGATTTGGAAAACTGTCAAACAATCTGCTCCCCACAAGGATTCCGGGGTGGCAAAGAAGGATGGGGAGGGGGCGATTTTATGGTAGACCCAGCAAATAAGAGAAGCCGTGGGAGAGAAGAGGAGAGGGAGAAGAGTTCGCCGTGCAGGTTGAGCTGGCCCTTCAGGAGAGAAAAAAGCGTCAGGCTGAGAGGAGGGGCATGGGTTTGGGTGACTGCAGGATGGCCGAGGCCCCTGAGGTGAGGGTCCGCAGGGGCAGGTTGTCAGGAGAGAGCACAGCCTCGGCCTGGCCAGCTGCCCCGGGAGGCACAGGCCCCACCAGGAAGGCACCATGTGGTCCCCTGGGGTGAGGGAGAGAAGCAGCCAGTCATTGCCGACTGTTTTCCAAAGCCAGCCAGGAATGATGCTGTGGTCTCCTGCTGCCTATGGGCCCTCTCTGCTTCCAGGTCCTTCTCAGACACTGGGGGGCAGTCCTGACAGGTCCCCTGGCCCAGACCCCAGCTCTCCAGAGAGGAAGGCATTTGGCTTCTTGGGGATAGTAATGCCCTACCACCACCAAACACAGCTTCTTTCCTTCATCTGGGGGTCTGGCAGAACACATTGAGATTCCCCCCGCCCCGGGATCTGAGAGCCCCAGGACACTGATGCCCCATGGTAGCAACCTCAGGGAGTCAGGAGGGAAATAAGCACACGTGTGTGTGTGTGTGTGTGTGTGTGTGTGTGAAGGGGGCACTGCATCTGTCTCCACCTCTCCCATCCCTCCCTCACCGCTCCCCCTGCAAAAGCAGCCCCTGACAGCCTGAAGGGGCACCTGCATGCTCCCAGGAGCTGCTGCCTGGTGGCCCGTGAGTTGCTGGATTCACATTTGTCTAAAAGCCTCCACATGGGCTGGACCCCCTCCTGCCCTGGCGCTCAGCTCAGCCATTGGTCTTCAGGTTTTAAGGATCGCCTAGAGAGTTTGTGGAAAATGCTGATGGCCAGGCCTCGCCTCCACGTATTCTAGTCAGTAGATCTGGGATGGGGCTCAGGCATCTGCATTTTACCGGACCGTCTCACAACTCTTACAAGGGGCCCTCGAGGATGTGGGGTGTAGACGTGCCCCGCCCCACGGCCCAGGCGACCTGTCGCAAAGCCCTCCCCCCGGCCCTCTCTCCTCCCCAAGGCCCGTGACTGATTTACTCAGTGCTCCCCAGTCTGCAGGCTGGCATTTCCACCTGGCTGCGTCTCAGGCTCTCTCATTACTGGAGCTTTCGGCCGAAGCCCCGAGCGAGCCAGGGAGCGGGCTGTGCGTCACCTGAGTGAAGGCCTGGAAACTAGGCCATCGTGCTTGGCCAAGCAGATCCCACTTTCTCCCAGCTGCTGCACTGCCTCCTTCGGCTGCCCCCCCTCCCCCCGCCACCATGGTGCCTGGGGCCTCGGGCGCCCACCCCCTCAGAGCGCTGGGGCAGAAGGCACAGCAGAGGCTCTGGGAGCGCCACTTCGGAGGGACGCAGGGGCCCCGTAGCGGTGGGCTGGACAGACTGATGGGGCAAGTCCTGGGCAGCAGCTGGACGCCCGGCCGGGGCACCAAGGGCCAGCCTGGGGCCCTCTGCCCTCCCCCATGGCCTTGACATGTCAGGTGGGGGCGGCGATGAGCAGGTGCCGCCCCAGTCCAGTCCGTGGTGTTTTCCTCCACCTCCATGTCCTGTCTTTTTCCACCCCTCCTTCGCCGCTCTCTTCTCTGTCTGTCTGTCTCTCTCTCTTTCCCTGTCTCTCCCCTGTCTCTGTCTCTTGTTCTCTGTCTCCATCTCTCCCCCGTTTTGTGGGTCTTCCTCTCTTCTCCCGTTCACCTCCTTGCCTCTCTTTTTCTGTCTTGCCTTCTCTGTCCTTGTCCTCTCTTTCTCACCTGACTCTGTATCCTCTGCGTCTCTCACTGTCTCCATGCCGGTCCCCTCCCTGTCTTTGCCTCCCTGGCTCTAGCTCCTGGTCCCCTCGCTGCAGGACCACAGCGGTTCACCTCCTCTGACCGGCCTCGCTGTCTGGGTCAGTTATGCACGATTCATAACTCCTGACTGGGCTGGGCTAGGGGACACGTGGATGTGGGCCCCATGATGTGGCTCTCAGGGCTCACCTGCCAGTTGGGGAGGGCCTAGGGAGGAGGTGACACGCTGCTGGGAAATCAGAGTGGCCTCTCCCCAGGCTGGACCCGGAAGCTGCTACCACCAGTTGCCGTCTCAAATGGCCAGACACTGAAATTCCAGTTGTCATCCTCGGGCCACATTCTTGCCTCAGCCTCCCCCAGCGCCACCCTCTCACTCACTAGCCAGGCAGACAAGCCTGCCAGAAGGCTGGGTGTGACCAAGCCATGGATGGGCTCCCAGCCCAGAGATGGCCATCTCCCCTGTCCTTGCGAGCCAAGGACGGCTCCCAGCCTCCCCTTCCTAGAAGTCTCAGTGGTGCCCTCTCCTCCCTGTTCCCCCTGGAAGGAATGGGGGAGGGAGAGCCCACAGGCCACCAGGCCCCTGACCATGGCTGTGTGGGTGTCTCCCCTTGCTTTCTCCTAAAAATTGACATCACAGCCAAGGTTGTGTCTGGATCTCTGAGTCTCCTAGGTGGTGGGCCCTGCACAGGAACCGATTGTGTGGAGGAAGTGGGTCCTGTCCAGGGCTCGTCCCTCTGCTCACGCGGTTACTGGGCAAATGTTGCCTGAGTCCTCCAGGGTGCTGGGCCTTGAGCCACATGCTGGGCTCGAGCCTGGAGCTCGCCTCACCTTTTTGGGCAGGGAAGCGGGCAGTGACCAGGCCTCAGCTGCCCGGGGTTGTGACCCTGTGGCAGCAAAGGCCAGGGCTGTGGAGGCAGAGGGGCTGCTTTCCGCAGCGGGCACCATGAGACTGGCTACGAAAGGACCAGGAGAGAGGAGACCGGGTGACAGCACAGGTGCAGAAAGGGGGGAAATCAGCGCCGAGAGGCTGTCGGCACGTGTGAGCTTCTGCAGTTCTCAGCCACTCAGGGCTGCTGCTTGGCCAGGTCTGCGCTCCTGCCCACTGCTCGCGCCCTAGGGCCAGGGCACCCCAGAGGAGGGTGAGGCAGCGGGAGGTAGGGGCTGGGAGGGGCCTGGCCCCAGAGCCCGTGGCAAGAAGGGGCCCCAGGAGCAGGTCAGGCTAGAGGAATGACACTGCCACCTGCAGGTCACTGGAATGTGTCCCCGACCTCGCCCCACTCACTGAAGGGGGACATTCAGATGCAGACTCTCCAGGGCTAGAGGTGACATTTCAGAGGCAGAGGGGCCCTTGGGGAGCAGGACTCTGGCCTCGTTCCTTCTCAGAGAGAGAAACTGAGGCTCTAAAAGATGAGTCTTGACTGAAAATCACAAAAATGCAGTGGTAGGCCCAGGCTCAGAATCCCGCCGTGTTTCTCACACAGTGCCCTTCCATGTGAAGCTGATTTGTCATTTACTTTTCAGAGGCCACAGCTTCCCTGAGAGCTCAGGGCTCCTGGGCTGCAAGGGAGATTAGGATGAGCCTGCTCCTCTCCCATCCTGCCTGAGGCAGAACCGAGGGCTGGTACCGGAGAAGCTTTCAGGCACTGGGAAGCCCAAGTGGGAACGAGAAACTAGGGAGACGGACAGACTCCTACCACGGGCAGAAGAGTGTAGCGTTCTCATCCTTATGTCAAGCCTTTGTCTGACTCTGAGACCCTCTGAGGCTGAGAGGAAAGGACCTGGGCTCTGGAGGTGGAAGATCAGCCATCCTCCGGCTGTGCAGCCCTGGACAGCCCCCCGGCCTCTCTGGGCCTCAGGTTCTTAGTTGTGCAGTGGAGATGTCAGTTAGCCATCTGCCTCACAGGGCTATTGCGTTAGAGGAAGGACGCTGTGAGGGAGGGCCCTCTGGGGTTATTCAAGGGAGAGCCCCGGGGGTGATTTGGCCTAGGAGGCCCAAGTTAGTCCCCTCCTGGGTGGTCACAGGGACCCAAGTCCCTCCCCCATCCACCAGGGCAGGCAGCCCACGGCGGGAGGGAGGGTGCACCTTGCACCCTACTCCTCAGCTGTGTCGGGTTGAGGGAGGTTTAAGGGCCAACCTCTCCTCAAGACCCCTCCGCCTCACCTGCCCCCAGCTGCGTGGTGGACGAGATGGACTTCTCCAGCATGGAGCTGGACGAGGCCCTGCGGAAGTTCCAGGCGCACATCCGCGTGCAGGGGGAGGCCCAGAAGGTGGAGCGGCTCATAGAGGCCTTCAGGTAGGACCCCCTTCTGTAGCACCCCCTCCCCTCACCCAGCCCTCAAAACACACGCCTGGGGCACGGGGGACCGGAGATGCTAGGGCAGGGGGTCAGCCCGGGGCTGGGGAGAAGCCCTCCTGGTGGGGCAGCAGGGGTGGTAGGCTGGGTGGAAAGGAAGGAAGGGAAGAAAAGGGACAGGAGCCCTGGAGCTCGCTAAGCTGGAGCAGCGCTGGGCCCTCCAAGTGGACTGCAGGCATCTCCCTCATCCCTCATCCAAGCAAGGTGACGGACTCCATGGCTGTGTGGCACCTTCCCTGTCCCCTCAGCCGGGAAAAGGACCAGGCTACAGGGCACACAGCCATCATTAGGGACCTGACGCCCTCGGAGAGCCAGCATATGGGCCCCGACAGCCCCCGATCTCTGGAGCTCAGGGAGGGGAGAGAGGGCCTCACGCGGCACCCCTCTCTGTGTCCCCACCACAGCCAGCGCTACTGCATGTGTAACCCCGAGGTGGTACAACAATTCCACAACCCCGACACCATCTTCATCCTCGCCTTTGCCATCATCCTCCTCAACACCGACATGTACAGCCCCAACATCAAGCCTGACCGCAAGATGATGCTGGAGGACTTTATCCGAAACCTGCGAGGTGAGGAGGAGGGGGGAGGAGGGGCGAGGCCAGGGCTTGGGCGCTGTTCTGTTCAGCGTTAATTCTGGGCTGCCAAGGGCGCGGGATGCTGCTGTCTGGTCCTGGTCACGCACAGCAGTCTGGGAAAGCTGCTTGCGTGCCAGGCATCTGGGCAGTTTCCTGGAGCCATTACCACTCCCCTAGACGTCGGGCCGTAGCCCTTGCCCTCCCCGGAATGTCCTCCATGGGTTGACCTCTAGGTGCAGGCGCCACGGCTGGTGCCAAGGTGTACCAGCCCTTCCCACTGCACGACGTCTGGAGGCGTTTAGATCTTGGGTCCATTTATGTCAGCCTTGCAGACAACGCCTTGGCACCGACCAGCCAAGTCCTTTCCTAAAGGACATAGTGCAGCCCCTGGCAGGGCTCAGAACAAAGGTGGCAGGATGGGATATGCGCTCAACAGGGTTCTTTTCTTTCCTAGCATTTAAGAAATCGAAGCTATACATGCACATAATTTAATAAAGTCAAATAATTCTACAAGGCTTACTCCAAAAAAAGTTCATCCCTGCCCCCGTCACCACTCTCCTTCCTCAGAGGCAACCACTCTCAACTTTGTTTTGCTGTTTCTTGTGTTTCTTCTCTAGCACTAAACAACATGCTTCGGCTGCTTTTCTTACGCATTTTTTCTAGTTAGTATAAAATCCAATTGTAAGGCGTATAAATCTGAGAGCTTGATGAATGCTTATGTTCATATACACGTGTGTGATCATGGTGGTAACTAGACGTATTTCCCAGTGTGTAAAAACCACTCCGTTGTACACCTGAAACTAACAGGATGTTAGACCCATTCAGTACCCCTGCCCGAGGGCCAGCTCTTCTGACCTGCCATCCCCGCTGACGAGTTGTGCCAGTTCTTGAACTTCATATGGGTGGGATTAAATAGTACACACACTTCGGTTTCTTTTATACACTGTGACTTGTTCATTTTTTTAATTTTAAGTATTATTTACTTCTGTCTCAATCCGTTCAGGCTGCCGTAACAAAATACCACAGCTGGGTAGCTTCTAAACAACAGACATTTATTTCACACAGCTCGGCCGGCTAGGCCGCCCAACGTCAAGGCCCTGGCACAGTCCGTGTCTGGTGAGAGCCCGCTTCCTGGTCCTGGAGGGGCCCTTCCGGCTGTGTGCTCACATGGCGGAAGGGGTGGGGAGCTCTGTGGGTTTTTGTTTTTTTTATACGACACTAATCCTACTCATGAGGCTCTATCTTTATGACTTCTGCAATTTCTAAAGGCCCCGTCTCCTCATACCATCCGTTTGGGGGTTAGGATTTCAACATATGCATGGGGGAGGGGGCCACAAACATTCAGACCACAGCAGTTTCCTAGAGTAGAATATAAGGATTAGCTCTTTTTCATCCTCATCCACCTTGCCTAGCCCGCCCCCGCTAAAACTACACTGTGTTTATGTTATTAAGATGTAAACACAGTCCAAAGCTGAGTCTTGAAGTATGTCATGATGACAGACCCTTTCTATTTCTGCTTTCCTTGGAGTGAAGTTAGCACTTACGTTCTTTGTCCCTTAGCTTAGCTCTCTAGGTACCCGCTATTGATTCCTCTCCAAACTCCCCACCCTAAGTGTCACGTTCCTCTCAACACATGGAGCCCCGGGGAGGTCTTCTTGGAGTCTCCCTCCTGGAGCCTCTAACTCTGCTCGGATCTGGACGGGTTACTGGGCCAGCACACAGCAATCGGCCTGGGATACTGTCCCCCATCATTTGGGGGCCTCCTCTTTGCTCCCGTGTTCGGTCCCTGTATCCTAGATTTCATGGCTTGCTCATTTTTAATTCACTTCCATAGAAAAGGTACACTGGTGGCAAACTTTCTGAGAACCTGTGTGTCTGAATATATCATTTTCTACCTTCACTCTTTTTTTTTAAGTTTTTTTATTTATTTGTCAGAGAGAGAGAGAGGGAACACAAACAGGAGGAGGGGCAGAGGGAGAAGGAGAAGCAGGCTCCCCGCTGAGCAAGGAGCCTGATGCGGGACCCATCCAAGGACCCTGGGATCATGACCTGAGCCAAAGCCAGCTGCTTAACCAACTGAGCCATCCAGGCGTCCCAACTACCTTCACTCTATTTTTTTTTTTTTAGAGGATTGTTCTTTCTTTTTTTTTTTCAAAGATTTTATTTATTTATTTGACAGAGAGAGAGAGTGTGCGAGAGAGGGAACACAAGCAGGGGGAGTGGGAGAAGGAGAAGCAGGCTTCCTGCGGAGCAGGGAGCCCGATGCGGGGCTCAATCCCAGGACTCCGGGATCATGACCTGAGCCGAAGGCAGACGCTTAACGACTGAGCCACCCAGGCGCCCACTACCTTCACTCTTGATTGGGCGTTTGACTCGGAAGAGAATTCCAGATTGTAAACAGGGACTCAGAATTCTGAAGGCATTGCTCCATTGTCTTTTAACGATGGTGCTGCTCTGTCGTTCCAATTCCTCACCTTTTGCATATTAATTTTTCTCTCTCTCTGAAAATTTACAGGCTCTTCTCTTTGTCCTTTGTGTTCTAAGTTTTCATGATGTTCCATCTCATTCTGGTTCTTTTTTCAGTTGAAGTATAATTGACATCCTGTTAGTTTCAGGTGTACAACAGAGTGGTTTTTATACACTGGGAAAGGAGTCTAGTTACCATCTGTCACCATACAAAGTTACTACAATGTTATTGACTCTATTTCCTATGCTGTACATTATATCACCATGATTTAATTTATTTTTAACTGGAAGTTTGTACCTCCTAATACCCTTCACCTATTTTGCCCACCCCCAACCCACCTCCCCTCTGGCAACCAACAGTTTGTTCTCTGTATTTATGAGTCTGTTTCTATTTTTGTTTTGTCTGCTCTTTTGTTTCGTATTTAGAGTCCACATATAAGTGAAATCATATGGTGTTTTTCTTTCTCTTTCTGACTTGTTTCACTTAGCATAGTACCTTCTAGGTCCACCAATGCTGTTGTAAACAGCAAGATTTCATTCTCTTTTATGACTCATATTCCATTTTATGTATGTGTCACATCCTCTATATCCATTCATCTTTCAATTCTCCCACATCTTAGTTGTTGTAATGCTCAGTGGACATGGGGGTGCAGATAGCTTTTCAAACTGGTGAGTTTCTTTTTGGTTCTTTTATCATCTCTTGTGCCAGTGCTGGGTTGATCCTTCAGCCTAGAAACATGTCCTCCGATTGTGGGAAGTTTTCTTAAATATTGTATTTGATCATCAACCCCCTTCGTTTTCTCTGTACTTTCTGGAACTCTTATTATTTGGATGGTAGATCTCCTAGTTTGATCTTCTTATTTTTACAGCTTTCTATTTGCCATCTTTGTCTTCTTGTTGGACTTTCTTAAAGATGCCTTGCAAGTTTCCTCCTAAGGTTTAATTTCTGCTGTCATATTTTTCATTTTCAAGAACACTTTTGTTCTCAAAATGTTTCTCCTTTATAACATTTTAGTCTTGTTTTATAGATGTGGTATCTTCTTACATATCTCTGATGGTATTTATTTATTTCAGTTTCTCCCTGCTTGTTTTTCTTTCTTCTGGCTTCCTTTTTCTGCTTCCCCATACTTCTTTCTCTTTTGTGTTATAGACTTTCCATATATACATGATGAAACTTGGTTGTTCTCTCATATTTAAGAGTGAACTAAAAGGCTGATTAAAAACTGTGAGTATGGATGGGGGGTGCTGACCAGTGGGCTTCCTCATAGGGTGATTTAGTTGAGCTCTGTCACTGAGGGACCCCTACTGCAGCATCTTTAGATTTTTCTCTTGTGCCTGTTGATTACTCAGAAAAGAAATGTCCAATCTGTTACCCAGAGGGTAGGAGTCTGGCTGCTAATGTTCTAAGATCTTCTGGGTCAATAGGACTGAGAGGGTCTCTTAATACATAAACATTAACCTCATGCCCCAGTTTTCAGCACAGACTCCCACCTTTGGCTGGGCTTGGGGTCCCCCACCCCAGAGTTCCCAGCTCACCTCTTCCAGAGGACTAACCCTCATTTGGCTGCTGGAGTGGAGGAAGGGACAGGGAGATCTAAATGCTTTTTAGACTGATGATCAGCCTATTTTCCTGTGTCCAGCCCAACTTTACCTCCACTTTCAGGGATTCCTGTTGCCACCCGTTCCAGAGCCCTTTGGTGGTTCTGTGATGTGTTGAGTGGCTTGTAACCTCTCTGCTGGCTTCATGTTCCACTCTCTCAGGTTTGCCAATCCATCTGCTCATTCGTCCACTTCACAGGTCACATGGCGCCATTGTTTCTTCCCCGCCCTCTTTAAAAAACTCCCTTTGGCCAGAATATTGAGGAGGAGCAGAGGTGTGCGACCTGCCATCTTCAGCTGAGAGCCTCTGTGTGTTCAGTCTTGGTCCCTGCTCTTTACTGCCCCCAGTACCCCAGGGGTGCTGCACGGCTAATGTGCCTGACTTGAAGAACCAAGATCAGATGTGGAAGAAACAGGGTGGATACAAGGAGTTGCTCGTAGAAGGTATAATGTCCTCTCACTAAGTTAGGAAATCTCCTCTGAGGACACTTGCCAAAGTTGCTTTATTTTCCACTTTTCTCTCTTATAAGAGAAGCATATAGTCATTGAAAAAAGATTTAGAAAAGGTAGAAAGAAGAAATTTTTTATCGCCTCTCTTTCTACCTCCTAAAGAAATCTGTTTCCATGTTGGTCAATTTCCTGCTAGTATTTTTTTGTTACCAGAGTGTTATGACTACGAAGTAGGAGATGGGAGTAAGGGCTCCTTACTTTTGCATTGCCACAGGAGGCTGTCCGGTTCCTCTTCACCTAATGTCTAACCACCCCCCCCCCACACTCCCAGTGATGGAAGAATCACGTCATACATGCAGCAAGTAATCATTGAGCACCATGCTCCCCTGTGGAGGGGTGCGGAGGGTCCAAGAGGGAGGAGATCCAAGAGAGAACAAGATAGAACATCAGCTTTCAAGAGACTCTCATGCGGGGCACAGGGAGTGGGGTGGAGGTAGACAAATACATGGAGGATAAGAAGAAGGCACTGAGCAGGATCATGGAGGCTGTATTTGGGGATGAGGAAAGAGGTGGGAGGGGGGAGTGGAGGTTCTGATTATGGAACAGCAGGAGATGAGGCTGTGGCGATGTGTGTTGGGCCCTATTACAGTAGTTCTGTTGCCTGGCTAAGGAGTGTGTCCTTAATTCAATAGGTATGGGGAGCCAGTCATTGAAGGCTTTGGAACAGGGACAGGGCAAAATCAAGGCCACCCTTGAGGGGCCTCAGTCTGGTAGGGGCTTCCCCTCTCTGGCTCCAGGCCTCTAACACCTCCCTCCCTCCCCCCGCTTCCCTGGCCTCCCCCCTCCCCTGCCTCCCTGGCCTCCCCTTCCCATTCCATGCTGGTAGGTGTGGATGACGGTGCTGACATCCCCAGGGAGCTGGTGGTAGGCATCTATGAAAGGATACAGCAGAAGGAGCTCAAGTCCAATGAGGACCATGTCACGTATGTCACCAAGGTGGAGAAGTCTATCGTGGGCATGAAGACAGTAAGTGCCCACCACAGAACAGCACTCACCCCATGGGGGTTGCTTCCTCTCCCATGGCTGCCAAGCCCCCCACGTCACACCTCCTTTTGTCTCCCATGTGACATCTCCTTCCATTCTCCTCCTTCCCTTTCAGAAACACTTTTCCATTATTTGCTCACTTCCTAGTGATTGAGTCCCCACTATGCGCCATCCACTGCACCCTCTGTTTCCCCTTGCCTCATTTCCTCATGGCTACTGGCCACCACAGCAGCAGAGCCTGAGGTGAGGTGTTGGGAAAGATTGCCCTATAGTCTAGGGTTGAAGTGTCAGGATGGCCAGATGGGGAGACTAAGGATGGGCTGGATACTGGGCTTTCCTGGATGGTCCTACTGAATAGAAGACAGGAAAGAGGCTGAAGAGCCTTCTAGACTGCGGTGTCCCAACCACTGGGCACCCCTTAGTTATGACCTATGTCACAGTCAATATGGTCCAAGAGGGCAATGATGCTCTATAGTTTACTACTCATATGTCAGCAGAGGCTCTTTATGCCATAAATATAAAGGATGTAGAGTGGGTTCTGGTATTTGTTTCCAGTTTCTCCTCCCTAAATTGCTGACCCAAGAAGCAGTGTGGGGATGTTGTCTGAGCTCTGCACTGGGCTCCTCTGTGCGGGGATGGCCCTTTTCTGCCCAGAGCCTTGATTGCTGAGGTCTTTTTTTTTTTTTTTAAGATTTTATTTATTTATTTGTCAGAGAGAGAGAGCACAGGCAGGGGGAGCAGGAGAGGGAGAAGCAGACTCCCTGCTGAGTAGGAGCCTGATGTGGGGCTTGATCCCAGGACCCTGGGGTCATGACCTGAGCTGAAGGCAGACCCTTAACCAACTGAGCCACCCAAGCGCCCCGATTGCTGAGGTCTCAGCATCTATCTGGTTTGCAGGTGTCACTGCAGTAAATTGTTCTACACGCAGCAGATCCGAGGCATCCCCGCCGTCCCCTCCCTCTGGCACACTTGGATGTGGTGTGCAGGAGAGAAAGGGATAGAGGAGCCACCCTGCAGGCCGCAGCTTGGGTCGTGGGGGCCCTCCAGAAGGTCTTGGGCAGAAAGGGGTTGACGGCAGCCGTATTTGCACAATCCGGAAGCTGTTTTCAATTGCCACGCCTCTGCTTCAGGTGCTGTCTGTGCCCCACCGCCGCCTGGTCTGCTGCAGCCGGCTCTTCGAGGTGACCGATGTGAACAAGCTGCAGAAACAGGCCGCACATCAGAGGGAAGTGTTCCTCTTCAACGACCTGCTGGTGGTGAGTGGACTGGCCAGGCCGGGGCCACCTGCTGCCCCGCTCAGCCTTAGCCCTGACCCCGGGGAGGGGTGGGGAGGGCCCCAGAGACCTCCTTCAGAATGCTATAGCTATTTACCTCTTTCTGTGGCACTTTCACATCCTGGAGGCGGGGAGGTGAGGTTGCTCAGGCCGATACGATCATTCCTACTTTATAAGTTATGAAGCTGAGGCTCGCAGGGACTAAATGATTTGTTTGTGGTTCCGCAGTCATGAAGGAAATGAACCAGATCCCAGATCATGTGCCTCTCCCACATTACAGAAAACCTGGGGCAGGAAGAGTATAGGGTGTGCTTCACGCCCCACAGCCAGGGAGGGACAGTGAGCCAGAGTGGGGTGTGCGCTGCCTGGGGCCCAGGGGTGTGTGCGCGTGTGTGTGCACGTGTGTGTGCGCATGCGTGTGCACGTGTGTGTGCACGTGTGCGTGTGTGGCGGGGTTGGGGGGTACTCATTCTTAGCTCTGTGAAATAGGTGTCCATTGCACAATATTTAATGAGTGTCAACTATGTACTAGGCATTTTTGTAAGTGTGGGGAAACAGTGGTGGACAAGATTGGGTTTCTGTCTTTCCCTAGTACCCCACATCCTCTCTATCCATGAGTCACATCGAGCTCCCTCTAAAATCATCCCACATCTAATGATCCACCTCTGAGGTCCACCTTCCACAGAGCAGCAGAGTGATCCTTCTAGAGTGCACATCAGGCTGTGTGTCTGCCACACTTCCCAAGCTGGGCAAAGGAAGTCCACAGTCCCTGACCTGGGACCTCCTGGATCCCTGGCCTCCTCTCCCTTCCCTCCGCTCCCCTGCTTGTCTGCGCAGGCGCCCTGACCCCACAGGCTGCGTCCCACGGGCCAGGATCCTTCTATCTCAGACCTTTGTTCTTGCTGCCAACCCCCAGACTTTGCCCGGCCACCTCCCTCTCTTCATTCAGGTCTCAATTCAAACATCACCTCCTCCCAGAAGCCCTCCCCGTGCACCTCGGCAGGTAGCCTGCCCAGTCATCTTCTCTTCCTTACCCTATTTCATGTTCTTTAAAACGCTCACCAGTTTCAGGAATTACCTTATTAATCTCTTCCTCCACATTGGTTTTTTTCTGCTTATTATGCTTTATGGATTGACCCACTGGTTTACACTCTGAAGGGGCTTCCTCCAGAGCAGCGAGGGCAGGGTTCTCTCTCTCTCTCTCTCTCTCTCCCTCTCTCTCTCTCCCTCTCATGAGAGTAACCCAGCCATGCAAAAAGCTGCAGGGAGGATTGTGGACCGGGGCTAACATGTGCAAAGGGCCTGCAGGGGGACTGAGCTCACCCAATTCAGGCCATGGAAAAGAGGACAGCAGGGCTCCAGCATAAAGCCAGAGTGAGGCACGGACCAAACTGGGGGAGGCAGGAAGTGTGGACTGGCTTCTTCTAAGTTCGGTGGGAAGAGCCACAGAGGGGTTTTATGCAGTTAAAAACACCCATATTTTGATATAGTGTGTATTTATATACATGCATATACATGAGTGTGTATGTGTTGCATACACATATATATCAATGTGTGTATGTGTGTGTGCATATAAATGTGTGTATGTGTGTGAATGTATCCTAAGTATACAAGTGTGCACGTGTGTTCACATTTTGTATGTACTTGTGTGTTCCCCAGTGTCCCTGCGTGTTCATGCATCCGAGTGCATGCACACACGTGTGCACCATCAGTGCATGTCTCTCTCCCTCTCTTGAACAGATTCTGAAACTTTGCCCGAAGAAGAAGAGCTCCTCCACCTATACCTTCTGCAAGTCAGTCGGCCTGCTGGGCATGCAGTTCCATCTTTTTGAGAATGAGTGTAAGTCTCCCTCGGACCTGGAGACATGGAAGAGGCAGTTTGGAGGGAAAGTTGGAGGCTGGAGGGAAGGGGAGGGGGCAAGCACCCCAAAGGCCCCAGCCACTCTCCCCACTGGGCTGGCTCTAGCCTCACTTGCCACTGCTCATGGCCACGGGGACCTGGGGTCTGCTTTCCAGATTACTCTCACGGCATCACGCTGGTGACCCCACTCTCGGGCTCTGAGAAGAAGCAGGTGCTGCATTTCTGTGCCCTGGGCTCGGACGAGATGCAGAAGTTTGTGGAGGATCTGAAGGAGTCCATCGCTGAGGTTACAGAGCTGGAGCAGATCCGGATAGAGTGTAAGGCCACGGGGCGCCACACGGCGGGGTGGGCAGGTGGGCTCCCCGTCAGCAGGGAACGGAGGCTGTTTGTGGCACAAGTCTGACTCCTTGCCCCACTCTGGAGTGAGTGTGGGGTGAGCCGAGGCCCCTCCTGCCATCCATCCCAAGCCCTCCCCCAGCCCCACTGCGCCATCACGGCCCATGTGGGTGCCGCTGCTGTTCGTGTTTCTTCACAATCAAAGTGGGGGCGCTGGAGCATGCACAGCTGTGTGCACCCCCAGCCGGGTGTGGAGCTGCGTGCGGGCCCCTTGGAACAGAGGACCCAGCTGTGTCTGACCAGCGCAGCCGAGCCAGCCGAGCAAGGCAGGCATGCCAACCTCAACGGTCTGTGCACCCAGGCGCCCCTCTTCCCACCGGACTCCTTGGTCAGCCCCTCCCTCTGGACCCAGTCAGACTCACACCTTACATCTGGCTGCTTCATTTCGTTCATCTCTTTTCATCTTGAATCGTCCCCCCACTTTATTTTTTCATGATATGGTCTTTTTGAAGAGTCCAGCCTGGTTTTCTGACTATCCCTCAACTAGGAGTCGTCTTTTGGTTCCTCTAAGGAAGGCCTGGATTCCTGAGTGTCCCAATTCAGGCATTTTAGAAACTACGTGGGCCTCTTTGGAGGGGCAGGCGGTTTGCCAGTTAACTTGGTGGTTGAGGAGTAGAGCAGGGCTGGCCCGAAACCCATGCCCACTCGCCAGCTTTTCCTGCTTTAGCATCGCCCGTGGCTTCAGATTGCCTTTCACGGGAAATTGAATAACTGTGGATTCAGAAACTAGAAGAGCAAACAGATTTCGGGTCTGCCTTCTATGGTCACTTCGTTGAAAAGTGCTTCTAAATTAATATAAAACCATTAGGCAATAGGAAAGGCAGGGGGACTTTTGAGGCAGGGCACCAATAGGACAGGGCGGTGCTTTTTAATCAGCGTTTTTAGAGCACCCACTGTGTGCCAGACAGTTTGTCTGCAGCACCCACAGTGAGGCTGCAAGGTGGTGCTTGTGCCCAGTTTACAGACCAGCCTCAGGGAAGTTACGGGCTGTGTTTAACGTTGTGCGTCTTAGAAGCAGACGTGACACTTGCATTTAGGTCTGCTTCTGAGGTTCCTGTACTTCCTACTCTGACATTGACAAAAGAGATTCCGTTTATAATAGTGTAAGGAAACAGCTCAATCAGGTCGAAACAGAAGCCGAGCAGACCAGACCGTAGGGCTCGGGAGCGGCTCGGGAGGCAGGGTGGGGGTGTAAATTCCCCTGCTGCACTCTGCTGGCGTGCTTGAGCTCCGCGGCGGGACCGGAGGCTCGGAGATGCCACCTTGGCTGCTGATCTTGAACCTTCTCAAGGACACATCCTGAAAGGTCACTTCGGTCATTGTCAAAATGTTACAGATGGCTCTTCTATTATCTAATCCTTGCCACAACTGTCCACGAGGCAGGTAGGATTGTCCTCATTTTACAAATCAGGGAAGTGAGTCTAACAGAGCTGAAGGAAGTCGTCCAAGTTCATACAGTCAGTGACCACACAAGATTTGCGCCAAGTTCCTCGGACTCCTTGCTTGTAATTAGGATGCTAATTTCTCCGAAGCCAAGCAGCCCCTCTCCAGGGAGGGACGGCCCTCTGCTCAGGGAAAGTATGAAGTATTGACTGATGGTGTGATTCAGGCAGTCAGGACAAACTGTGCTGGTTTGGAGGTTTGCAGTCCAGTGTCCCTGGATTATAGACAACAAGAGACACAGAAAATGGGATCCACAGGCACGGCTTTAATAAAAGGAACCTGAGTTATGTCTCCTGGAAAAGACACTGAATGAGTGATTTAATCATTCCTGGAACAGGCTTACGGTCTAGTGAGAGGAATCAAGGTCGAGGACAAGGCGGATGCCCTGGGCTTGCGGGCTCAGGCGAGGAATCTCCTCCCCGGGGGAGCTCAGCCGGGTGGGTGGGCTCTGTCTTGCCCGATGCAAGGTGTGCAGGCTGGCCGCCACCTGCCATCACCAGCCCTCACCAAGGTCCGCTGTGCCACGTGATTCGTCCACGTTGTCATAAAAACTAGTATTTACTGAGCACTTGCCATAAGCTGGGCCTCCTTCTAAAGGGCTTTGGTGCATTTCCTCGTGTAATCCTCTTAACAACACTTGGAAGTGGACACTGCTGTCCCCTCACATGAGGCACGGAGAGGTTAAGTTACTTGCCCAAAACCACACAGCTAAGAAGTCCCAGAACTGGGATTCAAACCCAGGCCGCCCGCCGCCCTCCGCTTCGCCTCTTCTGTTGCCTCTCTGACCTTCGGGCAGCTGTTAGCATCCCCACAGACAGATGAAGAAACTGAGGTTCTAGCAGGTCTCTAACTTGCGGAGAAGTGGGTTCCAGACTCAGACCACGTGTTAGAGCATGTGTCAGGGAGCGCCCCCTTCCTGCTCCCTCCTCACTCCTCTCCCATCTCACCGTGGTTGAGGCTAGCTTCCCCTCCGTCCTCTAGGGGAGCTGGAGAAGCAGCAGGGAGCAAAGACGCTCTCCTTCAAGTCCAGCGGGGCGCAGGTGGACCCGCAGTCGAAGCAAGGATCGCCTACAGGTGAGCCCCTGGTTCCCCTCCAGGGTCCCAGACCCCAGGCCTGGGATGGCCCTGGGCCCACATGGAAGCCACTCTCTGCCCCCAGCCTTGGGTTCCTGGGGAACTGGGAAGTGCTCATTCCCATGGTCACTTCTTTCTGCTCAGGGCTCCAGGCTAATCTCACGGGCCTTAGTAGTGGGAGTGAGGAGGACGGTGAGAGAAGAACGTGTCCATTTACACGCTGCCCTAAGGCCCTGGGTCCCTGTGAAATGTCACTGTCCCCCCGGAGGAGTTGGGCCAAGAGCCCAGACACCCTGGCCCCAGTGGGGGAGCCTCCTACCCCACCCCCCCTGCACCCAGGCTCCCCGGGGACTGCTGGGGTTCACGGGGCGGGGGCGGGTGGGTGGTGGTGAGAGGTATAGTAAAGAGAAACAGCATGAGAAAAACTGCTGCCTACAGATGGGAGCCCGGTAAGGAGGGTGGCCAGAAGGGTCTGGAAATCTTGATCTGCCAGTCAAGTCTTTTCCCTAATGAGCCACAAGTGCTCCAGGCCAGAGTCAGCCCACCCCAAAATCCAGATAAACCTTCAAACCCACTTTCCCAAATGGTTTCTTCAAATTGACTTATTCACTCCAGACAAATCAAGCCAGTTTCAGATTTTGTATCACCTCTGGCCATGTTCTCTAGACCTGCTTCCTTTCTCCCACTGACATCTTCCTACTTTCTACCTCTTGGCCCTCGCCTCACCCCCACCCACACTTCGCAGGGAGCATGGGAAGAGTCACCCCCACCCCCATTCTGCGGTCCCAAATAAAAATCAGAGGGAGAGATGTCATGAGAATTAACTCCCATCCCAACAGACCCCCAGTAAACCATCCCGAACTGTTCGCTGATTAATTAATTCAGCCATTTATCCTTACATTTAACAAACACTTATGGAGTGCTTGCTGTGTGCTCCCTGCTAAGCACTAGAAGCCCAGGCTTCCAGCAAGACAGCAGCTTGAGCCGAGACACTCGGGTGGGTTTCATGCTGGCCCCCAGCCCTCGGTGACAGCCATGACACCATGATGCTGGGACAGACGGCATCCCAGCACTCAGTCACTCAGCTAGGAGACGCGACTCCTTTTCCCAGCAAGACCTGGGGCTCCTTTAGCTGCACGGAGGTTCTCACTGTGATGTCATCTTCCGCGTGAGGTTTTGACCTGCCATCATGCATTCATAATTCTCCACCCGGCCTGATTTTCCAGCCGGCCCCTTCATTTCTATCAGGTCACAGTACACAGGTCACTGCTTGTTTGCACAGCTGTGTAAACTCCGGAGCCAAACCTCAGCTGTGATTAATTATTTGACATCCCACCCCACTCTGCAGCCCAGCTTGCCTCTTTTGGAAGCTGCACCCCCTGGTCAGGCCAGGATGCATGTCTCCAGGGCCTGGTCCATCAATCACCTCCCCGGTGGGGTTCTCCTCAGTCCCAAACAGTGGCATAGCTCCCCCTTGTGCTACAGAAAGCAGAGGGATGAGCACAGCGAGGGAACTTGCGCACACGTGAGCGCATGCGTGTGCACAACATGCACACACGCACACACACGCACACGTGCACACAGTGTGTGAGCAGTCAGAGGGGCTCTGGGAGGCCTGCTGAGGGTGAGGGTGGCAGCCAGGAGTGACTGTCCCTGGAGGGGACACCCCACCACGCTGTCCCTGGAGGTCCGCGGGCTCCCTGGTGCTGTGCCAAGCCAGTCCCCTAGCGTCACACAGCCACGCTTCCCATGCCAGGCCCTGTGGTGAGTGCTCTACGGGCCTCAGTTCGCTGAATCCCTGCCACAGAGCTGAGTAGCAGGGATAGGAACACGGGCCCTCCCTCAGGGAGCCTGTGGTTGAAAGGGACAGGTTAACAGCAGAGCCTCCTTGTGTGTCTGGGAGCCAAGAACCAGTGGCCCCTCAAAACCGACTTTCACTGTCCCTAACAGGGAGGCTTTGACTGTGGGTAAACGAGACTCAGCAGTGCTCCCTTAAAAACCCTCGGAGATCTTCTAGTCTGCATGCCCAAGGTCACACAGCTACCAAGGGGCAGAACTGGGCTCTGCCTTCTGGTCCACCGCCCCGGGGCTGCGTCCCAGTCAGGAGTGGCCTGGTACCCAGAGTCTTCTGTCCACACCAGCTAACTGCAAGGATGCTTGGTATCGGGGCCAGAGCAGGGGGGCGGTGGTTGGCGAGGCAGGGATTTGTATTGGGCCGGGTAGAGAGTGAGCCCTGTGCTCTTTGCATTCAAAGCCAAAAGGGAAGCCGCGCTGGGGGAGAAGCCGGCGGAGAGCACGGTGGAGGTAAGTGGAGGCCTGGTTGCCCAGGTGAGTGCTTCCGAGCCCCCGCTTGTCCTTCTTCTCATTGTCTCTGTTGTTTCTCTTCTCAGGTATTAATCAATGCCTCCCCAGCCCGACTCACCATTTTACCAATTTCAAGAGATACAATTAAACGTTACTGCTAGCATGGCTAATGCCACTGTCCCAGCGCCTAATTAAGCCACAGCTCTTTCTGCCCATCCCCCAGCCGCGTGCCCTCCGAGGCCGAGCTCCTGGGCTGACACCTGCACATGATGCCCATGGCGCCTCCATAGCCGCCTCGCCCAGAGCCCCCCAACCCACGCCCCCAGCACACTGCTCACTGATCCCCTCATGCGTGCCCTATCAGGGAAGCCACCAGTCCCTTCCCCCCTGGTGCGTCTGTCCTCCACAGCAGGGAGCCTGGGCCCCTCCGGACACTCACCCCTTGAGTCCAGCCCCAGGGACCACTTCGGGCTCAGACCCTGCCCTCCCTGCCCCTCTTGGGGCAGTCGGAGAACTGAGACAGGGGGCAGTTGAGCGCTGGGAGCTCCTCCCTGGGGTGTATGCCAGAGCCAGTGAGGCAGAGCGGGGTTGGTCACCTTAGGGATTTCCCTGGGGGGAGCGCAGACGTGTCTGAAGACTGTCGACTGGGAGGGGGATGCCCCCACCCCAAGCCACATAGGGAGAGGCTGGGGAGGGAGCCGCAGCAGTTAGTCCTTGCCAAGCTCCCAAGTGTCACCTGGGGGGACATTCAGTGGCCCCTATAAGCTTCACTGGGCCACAGCCCTCCCCCACTGCTCCCCTCCCACCCCAGTGAGCCCCCCTCCCCCGCTCCTCTGCCAGGCCTCTAGGGATGACTAGCTTCTCACACACAGACACCTCCTTTCCCAGCCCCACCCCAAGCTGGAGGAGCCCCCACTTAGAGGGAGGGAGGAGCCTGCCCACCAGGATACCCCAGGGAAGCCCAGTTTCTTCCCTCTTTTCCCATGGCCCCCCACCCCCCACACACCTGTGTCTGGAGGAGGCACCTTTACATGGAAGAGCTTCCTGCCCCAGCAGCTGACAAGCCCCCAGGGTGGGTATTCCATCCCCTGCCCCCTCTTCTCCCCATCTTCTTGCAGCTGCCCATTCTCTAGCCTTGCAGATAAACACACAAAGCTCCCAGCCATCCAGTTTGTTCTCCCAGCTCTGCCCTGCCTTAGCCTGGCCTACCTAGGGCGCACAAGCGATCTGATGGCCGGTCCTCCCCTCCCACCCTGCCAGAGGGCCATGTGGCTATCTGCAAGGCTGCCAACCCCAGCTAGCCCCGGGGCCCTGCCAGCCTCGCTGCCCCCAGGCTCTCAGCTAGACCCTAAGCTCTCTCGTCCTCTGCCTTCTCTCCGGCACTGCCTGGCCGAGCCCCTCTGGCAGGCGCTTCTCCATCTTCTCTGAGCTGTTCTGACCTGCTACTCATGATCCATCCTCTCTCTCTCTCTCTCTTCACCTTCTCTCTCCCTCTCTCCGTTCTTTCATTAGCAGGGAGGTGAGAAGGGGGTCAGAATGAATGTTTGGCTGTCACTTTCTGCTTCTCACTTACGGACCATTAAAGATAAGGGATCCAGGCTGGGGTGAAGAGGAGGGAGGTGCAGTCAGTGGGGGGGGGGGGGATCAGAAAGCAAGAGGCGATGAGGAGGGGAAGATGAGCCAAGAGCTGTGGGCTGCACTGGGGAGGGGTGCAGGTAGGGAGGAGGAGAAAGAAGTCCAGTGGGTCTGGACTGGGGCAGCTAGACGTTAGCTGTAAAATCTGGGGGAACAGAAGGCCTGCCCCCACTGTCTAGGCCCCTTTTCTCCTGGGGAATAACTCAGAATACATGCAGGTGGGGAAAGGAGCCGGTTGCCTCCAGCAGCGGTAGGCAGAGGCCTTCTGCCAGAGTGAGGGCCACAGAGGGCTCCCCAAGGGCAAGGTGGGCCCCAGCTATGCCTTCTGCCTGCTCTGTATCTCAGCAGGGCACTGAGGGACTGGGGGGGCTCCTTCATTTGATTGGGGGGTGTGGATCTCAGCCTAGAAAATGCTGCCAAGGCTGGAGGTTGAGAGTGAAGAGGAAAGCCTCCAGTGTGCTGAGCACAGCAGGGTTTGTGGATATTGAAGGGGCAGACAGAACCGGGGTTTGGGGGACTGTGGAGAGGGAAGCAGCCCATGGGGGGTGCACAGGCCCAGAAGGGGGGTCCAGGAAATTGCACCTTCTGCCAAGGAATAGGGTTAGGATCTGCTGGTGTAGGGCTCCGAGATAGTTTTGAGCTGGGCATCTTGGTCTAGACTTGGCAATTAAGGCCCCTTCCCTGCAGCCTCGATGTCCCCCTCTGTGCTCTGAGCAACCCGTCCTGGGTGGTGGTGCCCGAAGACAGTAAGATGCATCCTCAGAGTGAAGGGTCTCAGCCACTGCAGAGGGCCAGGTGTTAGAAGGGGACTGTGGCATGTCATACCTATAGCCTGGGGAGCTGAAGGGTGAAGAACTAAACACATCCACCCCCCCACCAAAGGCTCTAGCTCCCTTCCTCCCATTTCCTCAACCTCCCCCTGTTAGCAAGAGGAGGCCGGGCTTGTTCACAGTGACCTCCATGGGTCGAGGGAGGGCGTAAAGATTAGAGTCCTTTCTGGGTACCCCCTCCGGCAGTGGGACAAATTTAACCAGGATGAAGCCTGGCCCAGAAAGGCAGCTGAGGACTGAGCTCTGGCCTTGGCCGTCTGGGCTGCTTTCAGATTCATGGTTTTGGCCTTGGGGAAATCTAGGAGGATAGGGTAGGTCCAGATGGCCCCTTCAGGGGTCCAGGGCATTCTCTGTTTGGGCGCCAGGGAAGCGTCTCCTTTAACAAAGGGAGGAGGGGGCTTGAGAGGCTCAAAGATGATCGACCATCCCTGTGTCTGGTGTCCGTTTGTCCTCACCACAGCCCGGGGAGGCAGGGAGACAGGCAAAGATCATTACCCTCTTTTCCAAGCTCAGAGGTTGGTAGAGAGGGACGTGGAGAGAGGTTTACCTGTGAGATGTGACTGCAGAGGCCTGCAGAGTCCTGGGGGCCACTGGTCCAGGTGTCCATCTCACAGGTGAGGAGCCAGGCCTGAGAGCCGAGGCTTCCCCCTCCCCCCCACCACACCCGGGCTGGCACTTCTATTCAGCAGCTGGGGTTCCTCCAGGTCCGTGCGGAGGTGGCCGGCGGCTCAAGGGGAGGGCTCAGAGCAGCCGAGGGGCACAGGAGACGAGACAGGGCTGGGAAGGGAGGCTCAGGGTAGCCAGTCCTAGCAGCTGGGAATTAGTCCTGTAACATTTCATGCTTCTCTGGCTGTTTCTAAACTAGGTGTCAATTCACAACAGGCTTCAAACGTCTCAGCACAACCCCGGGCTGGGGGCCGAGAGGGGAGTGCCGGCGCCACCGCCAGACCCGCAGCCTAGCCCCCTGAGGGAGCAGCCCCCGCCGCTGCCGCCGCGGCCACCCACGCCCCCTGGGACCCTGGTGCAGTGCCAGCAGATTGTCAAGGTCATTGTGCTGGACAAGCCCTGCTTGGCCCGCATGGAGCCCCTGCTGAGCCAGGCCCTCTCCTGCTACGCCTCGTCCTCCTCCGACTCCTGTGGCTCCACACCCCTGCGTGGCCCGGCCTCCCCGGGCAGGGTCATGCACCAGCCTCCGCTGCCCCCGCCCCCACCCCCCTACAACCACCCCCACCAGTACTGCCCGCCCGGTTCCCTGCTGCCCCGGCGCCGCCACTCCAGCGGCTCCAGGAGCCTGGTGTAGACTCTGTCCCTGCCCAACCCCGCGCTCATGTCCCCGGGAGGGCTGGCCGCCGGGGGCGGGGGGCTCAGCTACAGCCAGCAGCCCCAACCGCCCCTTCGCTCGCTGCTCCCCACGCCTGGCACGATGCACTCCTGGTCGCTGAGCACCATCGTTTTGGAAAGAGAGCCTCAGTCCCTGGCACCTGGGTTTCACCTCGCCCCAACATGCTTCCCTTGTCCGAGCACCCCTCTCCCGAATCTGGAGATCCCACCTCACTCTGCTGGGGCCCGACACAGCAAGGCACGTCCAGGCCTCCTCTTCCTCCTGCCACCACTCTGGCCACTTGGACCATGGACTGAAGCAAGCAGGAGCCGAGGGCCTAACCAGCTTCCTGGCCCTGAGTCCGTCAGGCCCCAGGCCTCAGGCCGGGTGGGTAATGCGAGGGGTGGGAGGCTTTCTCTGCTGCAGCCCCTAAGCCCAGCCATCTCACGAGGCTGATCCTCCACCCCCAGGGATGTTGGCTGTCCTGGCCACATCCTCCCCCTCGGGCCAGGGCCTTCTCCCGCTTTCTCAGGAGCTGGGCCCTGCCTGTCCAGAGCTTCTCAGACTGCAGGAAAGTTCTGAGAAACTTAAGAGGGAAAGGGGGACCACTCTCTGCTCTCTCAAGAGCACGTCAGCAGAGCTGTGGAATCGTGAGGTCATATATCCACAAAATGCACCTTTTAAAAGAGTTTCTTAGTTCTCTAGCCCCAGATATTCCCCAGCCAATGTGAAGTGCAGAGGGTGTAGACTTAAACACACACATACAAACCAGGTTCTTCCAGCGTGGGAGCCGACACAGGGAGAAGTGCTGGCGATCTGCCCAGGGACAGATACAGCCAGCAGAGGTAGGAATCGGACCCAAGGCAGGGTTCCTTCTTGAATGACAGGCATTCCTCCTGCTGCCATCTCCAACGAGCCCGTCAGCCTTTAAATTCCGCTCCCCGCGCCTCCTCCAGGAAGGCGCCAGACCTGCCTCCTGCTGGCATGGCTGAAAGAGCCCTACACCCTCACGGTTGCACAGGAGAGCCAAGCAGGGCTCGCTGAGCTCCCCAGGGACCACCAGAATCCGAGCGTCCGCTTTTACGAGGCCCAGCGGAGCCCAGGCAGCCCGGCCTCGAAGCCCTCGGGCTCTACCGCGGCCTGCCCCGACCCCAGCCCTCTCAGGAAGTGTCTGTCCCAGACCAGGCTGGACTCTCCAGGCCTGTGCCAAGAGCTCATTACTGTCCTTCGTTAGGATCCCCTCCCACTTGAGCCCATTTTCAAAGCCTGCCAAGAGATGGAAGTGAACAGTGGCCAGGTCTAAAGTGAGGCTGCTTCTCCCTGCTGCCTACCCCATGCCCCAAAGGCAGTGCCCTGAGCCAGCCAGGAGGCGCGGAATCCTCCCCCACTCTCAGAGGTTCCGGATGACCTAGTTTCGAATGTGTGTGTCTGCGGCACTCGCCCAGACGTCATATGATGTCAGCCCGTGAGTTTATTTCTGGCTCTTTGTCAGCCCGGTTTCCATACCTTGTGACCAATTTGCCACCTCCTCCCACGGTGGCTGCCCAGCTGATCTCCTGGCCTTGTTGCCCTGACCCCTCCCCTGTGCCTTCCCTCTAACAGGTGGCTCCAGTCACAGCCGTTCGAACAGAGCGGCTGACAGATGGAGCGCACAGATTCAGCCACCTCCGATGCCCTTGGCCAAGGCAGGGATCGCCCTTTAAAAGTGCAGGCCTAGATAGCAGGAGTGGGGGGGCACTCGGGGCGGGGGTGGATGAATCTCGAATGGGGGGCCACGCCGGCAGAGAGCGGTAGTTACGCCGGGCGGCAGGGAGGCTGCCTTAGGAAGGAATGGGAGCTCTGAGATGACTAAGTGTGCTCCCTGGTGGGGACCATGAGTGCCAGGGCCCGCCACTGAGACAGGCCACAGTCCCAACTGTCAGGCCCCTGTCACCTGCTCACACAGTGCTTCTGGTTGGAAAGTGCCCTCCTCCCTGTTGATGGGCACGCCAACCTGGCCCCTCCCTCCCACCTCTGCTGTGGCCCTGACTCTCCAGGTCAGGCCCAGTGGAAGTCTTAGGGCCGGCACTGTCTCTGAGGACCCAGACGCTCAGGCGTCTCAGGGCCCTTTCCCCAGGTAGGGGCTTACCCCCTGTCACTGGGGTGGCTTCCCTGGGCCCCACAGGCAGCACAGGGAGGCCTGGTCTAGGAGGCAGACCAGCCTGGGGTCAGCAGCACATGGAGCCAAGCCTGAGTGGTGAGAGGTTTTTAAGCCCTGATGGCCCCCCTCACTGTCGGGAAAACCAGAGTCCCCACTGTCTGTAACTGACCTCCTCTGACCAGCCAGAAGGCTAAGGTTGGGACCCACCTCTGTCCCTGTCCCTAGAGCCTCATCCTCAAAGTCCTGGGTCATCGGATGGGTCAGAGCTGGGGGCGCAGGGCCAGGGAGCTGACCCCACCACTCCACCGCTCCTCCCCGGAGGGCCCGGCCATAGCTGCACTTGGGCTCCCTGCTGCCCGAGGCAGTGGGGGGCAGCGGAGTGCTGACTGGGCCCCCCGACACCGCGTCCTGAGTACAGCCCTGTGACCCTGGGGTGAGCCCACCGGATCAACTCTCTAGGCCTTACTTTAGAGGACCTGGGTCCCCTTCTCAGTGGTATCCATATGGCCCCAACTCCAGAAGCAGGAGTAAGGACAGTAACTAGCTTTCTCACACGGTTTTGGGCTAGTCCCCAGCTAGAGCTGGAGCAAGACCCTGCCCCGGGAGCGCGAGCTGGAAGCCCACCTGTCTCCGAAAGCACACCTATTGATCAGCCCTGGGCCCCTGGCTACCCCCCCCCCCCACCGCACCTGTTCCCCCATAGCCTGCCAGTATGTCTCTTTGTGTCCAATAGGCTTCCCTGGTAGCCATTTGTCCATCTGTCCCCGTGTCCTACCGTGCAGACTTTCTTGCTGCACTCTGCCCACCCCCCGCATCTGCCCCTTCACCCTGTTGGAGAGAAAGCTCTCTAGGAAAAGGCAGGGTGGTTGCACCCAGCGACGAATCCAAATGGCAAATATTTTGTAACAAGATAGCCCAGAGGTATTTTATCTGTTCAATTCATAGAGTTTTAGAGATTATATTGAAATATGTCACTTGAGCAAATTGCTCCAGTTCCGTTTCTTTCGTTGTCTCAGAGGGAGGTCCTACCTTGAGTCCAAGCATCTAGTTGGCCAGAGTCTGAAGGCAGAGGATGTTGTGCGGCCCTCGGCTGGACCGCCAGGCCGCTCTCCTCTGGCCGCAGTGGTGTCACCCCTGACCCCAGGATGAGGTGCCTCCGTGCCACCATGGGACACGCTTTGGAAGCCCCATCTGAAATAGAGGAGACTTAGGTGTGTGTGTGGGGGGGTCATTGGATGGGTCAGAACTGGGGGCGCAGGGCCAGGGAGCTGACCCCACCAACACCACCTCCACAGACCTGCACGCACATGCACACACGCGCACACGCGCACCTCTTAGCCAGGTAAGAAAGCTGCTAACAGTGGAGACCGGGGCCGCGTTAGAGGGAAGAAACCCCACGACCGTCAGTGTGCATCCCAGCAGAGTGGGAGGTGAGGGGTCAGGACCCCATCTGCCCTGCTTGGCCTCCTGCCATGGAGAGTGGGGGCAGGTTGGGGGCCCCAGGCCCCAGTGACCACGTTTGATCATCAGCCCCCGAAGCCTGACCTTCTCATCACAGGCCTGGTTTGACAAGCTCTGGGGGGGACCCTTCCTGAGGTAGAGGGGCAACAGGCCCAGGTGCGAGGAACACCGTCGGGGAAGCTGCACGGAGCCAGCGAGCGTGATGGAGCAGACATCTGCGGGTCGCTGGAGGGGATGCCTCTCCTGCCGGAGAGGGCAATAACGTCAGCGCTGGGGAGAGAGACGAGGGGCTTGGGCGAGCATCCCCCACTATGGACAGGGCCTTCACAGAGAGCGATTTCTGCTGGCAGGGGAGAGAGGACAGAGCCTTCCAGCAAAGCCGAGGCCTCAGGGGCACTGCACCGTGGGAGAAAAGTGACTGGCCAGGGTGGCGGGTCCGGGGACACCTGCAGAGGGTGACCCGCTCTCCTGGTGACCAGAACTCTGAACACCCAGAAATCCAGACAGCTCCCCAGGCTGGGGCCCATTCTCCCCAGTTCAAGTGAAAAGGAATATGACCTCACCCGCCTTCCAGGAAACGGGAAATTCCAGGAGAAGTCTTGGGCCAGCTATGACCTGTCCCATCCTGGGAACTCTCTGACCCAGGAATCTGAGGACGGGCCCCTGGAGAGCACCCCTGAGGGGACCCAGCTCAGCCCAGGCCTGAGAGAGGACCGAAGGCTAAAAGGGCTCTGCTGTGTGGGAACGCAGGGCGGTGCCGCCATCCTCCAAGCCTTCTGGCCCCTGAGGTGGTCTGGAAGGAACGGCCCTTTTTCCAGTGAGAGAGGGAGACCACGGTGCTCTAACAGAAGCCCCCTGGGTCCGCCGGCCAGTGCCGCTCCCTATAGTGACCCTTTAGCTGGGGGAATCTCAGACTCCGCAGCCATTGATTTAGAACATTTCCAATAAGGGGGACCTGAGAGCAGTGGGCCAGAACAGGACACCGGTGTGAGAATTCAGGGAGCAGTCAGCAAGGTTAGGAAGCCCCAGCATGCCCCAGGCACTGGGGTGGGGGCCGGGGCACCCAGTGAATGGGACAGACAAAGCTCCTGCCCTCCAGGAGCCCGCACTGAGCGGTGCCGACACAAATACGCGAACGGACCAGCTCTTTCCACAGAGCGGGTAGTGGTACAGGACGGGATGGGGAGGGGGTCAACAGCCAAGGAAGGCCTCTGCGGGGAGGCCAGCGCAACAAGGTTGAGGTCAGGTCCAAGGGCAGGGGAGCAGTTCAGAGGCCACCTCCACACGGTCGAATGACCACAGATGGATAGGCATCGTCATCAGTGGGAAAGGAGGTGGCTTGAATGCAGGCCATCAGGCAGTTCTGGAGGCCGGCCCGGTGGGGGCAGCTCCAGTCCAGAGCAAGGGCTCTTGTACGGCTCTGACTCCTGGTGGGGAGGAGCCCACCCCAGGGCCCAGTGGGCCTGCACATAGCCCTCTGTCCACCTCCTCCCTGTCGCCCCACACCAAGAAAACTCAGGTTTTCCGTTTAAAATAACAACAGGGTGGACTCCGTGGCCTATTACCCACAAGACCCTGGGGCTGGCAACTTTTCTGACCTCAGCATGAATTACACAAAACCGTGGTAGGGTCAGTTTCTCATCCCATGGGGCTGGCAGAAGGCCGCTGTGGGCCTTGGTACGCCCCGCTTCCTTCCCTCAGCCCTGACGGATGTGGCTAATTGAC